CAATAGGAGAACTAGTTAGCAGTGGAAGAGAACCTTGTAGCATTGCCATCCCAATAAGTTGTCAGAGATGTGGGTTCTATGAGGAATTATGTGATTTTATACAGGCCACAGAGACCTGAACAAATCTTTGGTAACAAGGGCCAGCCTCCTGCTGCATGTCCCAACACTCAAGGGGAGTATACCACACAGAAAGGATCAGAGAATGCCACGGATGGAGATAACCAGTCACCTAGAAGACCGTATGCACGCACACGCAAGCACACACGCGTGCAGAGCTTCCTGTTTTCTGGAGCCTTTTACACCTGACACATGGATTCCTTGTTCATTCAGCCCCACCCCTTAAAGCTATTTCCAGAACTTAGGTTACTACCCTTGGCAGCTCTGCTTCACACACAAATACTTGGAGGCTGAAGTTTATCAAGTATGACCTGTTTATCAATGATTAAGTTCCATTAACTTCAGCTTCCAAATGTGAATTCTTAGCTCCGGCCCTGGTCGGACTGGCACAGCTGCTGCCTTTACTGCGGGCAGGGGGATGTGAGGTGGGGATGATCGCCGAATCCGGAACCTAAGCTGCCAAGCTAGGAGCTCCAGGCCCAGAAAGTAGACCCTGAGGCCCTCCACAAAACTAGGGTGGGTTTCCCCTTCGAAATGCTCTCTGAACCTCAGAAGTCGTGTTCAGCTGGGGAAATAGCTGGGATCCTGAAGAAGCTGTGAGAATCAGGAAAACCTACATGGAACTCAACCAGTGAGGTGGGGCCTGTGGCAGACAGATCTAGGGGATGGCCAAGGAGTCAGGAGGCAAAAAGGGACACTGGGAGGGCGTCCCAGGATTGCAGTTCTCTCTGAGGGGCTGGGCCCTGCTCCCACCTCCTGCCCCTTAGGGCAATTTATGGTTCTCCCCACACAGGTTAGAGAATGCCATGTTTGCCACTAAGGCTTTCAAGGTCATTTCTGGAAATCACCGTGTTCCCCCTGTTCCCTTTATAGCTCTTGTTGAGTAGCAAGTTCACACAGTTGAGATGATAAGAAGCCAGCTGAAGCACATCTTCACGGAGCCAGGCCGACAGGGTTGAAGTCTGCAGCTCAGCAAGTGATGGTACGGCGTGGGCCAGGCTCCACCTGGCCCCGGGGTCGTCGGTGGCCCCCTGAGAAGGACAGTAACCAGGAAGGAGAGTGAGCCTACTGGTGACACAGTGATTGGCATTTCTTAAGCCTTATGAATGTGGAATGTGTAGCAAAGAGTTTTGTTCTTTTTTGAATAAGGAGACATTTTAGAAGGACTGCAACCATCACACACAAAAGCTGACCGTTTTTATGCTAAAAAGTGGGGGATGCGAAGTGCCCTCAGGTCATCATCCTGTTGCTCCTTTTCTTGTGCAGACAAATGGATTTTTGTCCCCCAGCAGTGCTTTCCCTCGAGAAGAGGGTGACTGTGGCGGGGGAGGGGAGCAGGAGCTGGAGGGGTCAGCAAGGCAGTGGGTGGTCGGCTCCCTGGCAGCACCGTGCGTGCCGGTCTCTATTTCAAATTCAGTTAGAGAGTTCCAGATTTCCCAGGACACAGCAGCTTACAGCCCTGCCTTCTCTTTTCTCAGATATCTGAAAGCAGGGCTTGTCCAGTGAGCAGATTAGGAAAGGATATGGGAACTTGTTCCCCATACTTGAAAGCAGGGAAAAAAGCCTTGTTGTGAAGAGAAGAAACAAAACCTGTTTGGTGACTTGTCATTTCAGTGAAAACATGAACCTTTCACAGGTGAGCATTCCCCCACACCCTCCCCTTCCTCCCGCCACCCGGGATCACAGGCTCCCAGGCGGGGGCAGGGAGGAAAACACAGGACAGGGCTCTGCTCCCGCAGGGACACAGTGATTTGATGACAAATGTTTAAAAAGCCAAGGGAGCAGTTTAGGGAAAAAAGTTTATTAAAACTTGTCTTGTCGGGGTGATAAAATACACTCGGAGAGAAACAATGCCTCCTTCTGCACCTCCATTAGGAAAACAGAGTAAATTGTTTCATACTTATCTTATTTCTCTTGCATAAACACAAAGAACTGATTTCTTAGATCACCTGTATAAAAAACATCACCACCAATCCTCCGAAGGGTCAAATTCCGCATAGCCAACACTGTGGGAATTTAATAAAGAGAATACATTTCTGATATTTTATAAATAAAAGGGTCAGTCCTAAGGGTTCCATGAGGCCTCACTTATCGACTCCACTGAGCTCTTCCTGAAAGCTCGTTTCAGATGGGGAGCCTACACCGGGAGCTCCCCATCAGGAATTCTGAGTGAAGATGCATTCTCTGTCAGGTCAGGTTGTGCAGTGAGAGGAGGAAAAAGGGCAAGGATGCAGCTCAGGCCGAGCCCTCTGCTGTGTGCATCTTGAGACTCAGAGGCATCCGAGGGCCACCCTGCCTGTGTGTGCCTTTTCTCCTCCACAAGCCTTATCAGGGGAGAACGTGAGCCAGCGAGAGAACAGCAAAGATCAGAATTTCTCACAGTGTTGTGAAGATAAGTGTGCACACTGGAGGAGAGGGTGGGAGAGAGACCGGAACAGACACGGTTACCCTGCTAATGGCTGGGTGTTACCACTTGGAGATGCAACTCTACTTTGGCCATTTGTACACACTTTCCTGAAAGCAAAGGAGAATTTTTCCCCCTGATATTAAGTATTCAGATAGAGTTTCATAAACATGGAGACTGAGTTACAAGTATCACTGGAAAAGAAAAAAAAAAAACTGGGCACTTTCCATCTTTCCTTTTCATTACAATTTTGCTTTGAAATATGGTCCTTAAAATTCCCTTGAAGATGACCCTTTAAGAATGTCCAAGCATATAGTTACAGCAATAACACCCCTCAGCAAACTGGGTGTTTGTGTTAACATGACACGGACACATACAGGTTAAGTTCCGTAGTGGCTATGATTTGAACCTCGTACAAAACATATGGCTTTAATCACTAAGGTTTTGGGCACAAGAAATGACCACAGTAACAGGCAGTATAGTTATGAATAAACAGGTAGAAGAAATTATGAATAAACAGAAGGATATAATCATTTAAAAGAAAATAATTGAGAAGTATAAACACAAAAACAAAGTTGTTTATACTTAAGATAAATCTCTAAATTTATTTTTCAAAAATGTCATTACGAGAACAAATATGCTAATATATAGTCAAGTTCACCTTAATCATAATGAAGTCATAGGATAAGATAAAAAGAAAGAATCCTCATATATAAAGGATATTTTAGATGTTAGCCATATCAAGACCCTCTATTTTTAAACACGGTGTATGGCATCTTACTCTGTAAAAAGGTAATACATCTCTCAAGAATCCTTTAAACAAACCCAACATAAACAGGAGTCAAGTAAAAACTATTTTAAAAACTTCTAAAATCAAAGCACCTATTTAAATTAAGACCATCAAGAATCTACAAGATTATTTCAGGAGGACAGGGCTGGACGAGACACTAAATACTGTAGTTCTAAGGAAAAAACTACAATCATTTTATGTAACTTACAAGGCAAATTGAATACTATGAAAAACGTCCTTCACAGCACATTTAAAAGCCTGAATTTAAATAATACTCAACAGGAAAGAAACAGATTCTGAGACATAATAACAAAAGGGCCTGACTTCAACTGTGGCCCCTCCCAGTCTATTTTTAGAGGTTTAAGACTCCAGCCTTAAAGAGTTTTGATAATAATGCTGTGGCTACAACTCAGCATGTAAGTCACAGTCTGGGAGAAAACCAGTTCTTTTCATGCTGCGTAACCTAGTTCGCTGTTTTTTTTTCCTTTTAAATTAATCCTGAGATCTTGCCCACGGAACACAGGGGATCTTAAGAATCTTCTGTTTCCTTCTGTTTACCAGCTACCTTGGAACATGCAAAACTAAAATTAGGTGATAAATTAAAGTTAGGTGATAAATTAAATCTTTAAAAATGTTCTTTACTAAAAAAGGAACTATCTTGCATATGGAAGCTTATTTGGAATATTACTTTAATTGGGAACAGAACAACACATTGTTGAGGAAAAAGCACTTTGGTTCACTGAAATATTATGGAGATGTGTCCTTAAAGGATTTCCATGTTAGGAAGTAACCATTTCTGTGTCATCCATCACAATGCTGAGATGGCTGTGTCAATTAAGAGAACAGGAAGTGCATCCTGTATGACTTAATAGGGTTTTAAGTTTATATATATGTAATACAAATGTGTGTGCACACATGCAATACCCACATATGTATATGTTAACATATATTATGTACATGTATATACACAATACGCGCTCATACACACACCTCCCAGTAACACGGACCCTGCAGTCTCACGAGACTTGCTTTCTTAAAATTACCACCTTTTCCAAACTCAACCTTTCTATTCTACTCCCATAACTCAAAATTACAGTAAATCATACTCTAAAGGTTTGACTTCAATTTTCAAAAAAAAAAAAGAAAAACTGGGCAAACCAAGTTATATCAAGAAACAAAGGCACAGCTAGGGCCAACATACCGACCTCTACCCTTCAAAACAAACGAAAAAACTGGAAAAGTATTTTAAGACACTGAAAATTTAACAAGCATTTCTTTTTTATTTTCTTAGAAAAGGAGGGGAAACTCCCTTTCTTAGAGAATTGAGTATAAGAGATCTAAACCAGCTTCACGTCATGTCCTTGGGATAAAAGGCTCAATTAGAGACACAAGAATAACACATCAGACCCCATCCCCCTCCTCCTAAGCCCCCAAAATATATGGCATTTACAAATCATAGAGACCCATAGGTTTTCAAGGTTATTCTCTGAGTTCCTGGAAAAAGGAAGACAAGATATGGGCCGGACCCTCTGTTACAGAAGGACCTCCCTGCTCAGCTGTAGGATCGGAGCAGGGCCACTCTTACTGTCCGCTGAGTCCTGGCGCCTCTCGTCTCTAGTCCTCAGCAGGGCCCAGCAGCTGGGACTGCTGCCGCTGCTCTTTACGTAAGCACGTCCATTCCAGGCCACACACACCGGGCCATCACGCCTGCTCCAGCTCCCTGCCCACTCTCCATCACAAGTTCTCTTTCAGGAGGCCGAGCTTCCGCAGGGCCTCCCGTCGGGCTTCCTCCGTGGAGCCTCGGCCAGAGAACTGCACGGTGATGCCCTGGGGCCTGAACCCCACGGCCCTGGGGAGCGAACCCGACCGCTTCCTAGCGTCCTGGCTGCAGTCCGGCTGCCGGTGCTCATAAAAGCTCTTGGTGGCGTTCTGGCGCGCAAGTTTACTGGGAAGCGCTGGGTCCGGACGGAAGGTGACAGTTTTTCCAGGAGAGACAAAGGCGCCAGGCTCACTCTTCAGGACATCGTGGATGCTCTGGAAGCCATTGGCCAATGGTGGGGACTGTTCTGTCTGCACGCCTCTGGACTGCTGACCACTGGTCTGCCTTCCTGCCCGCAAGAATACGGCTTCCTGGAAGGGGCCTGGCTTGCTCTGGTCACGCGTGCCCCTCTGCTCAGTGAGATCACCCTTGGGGGCAATCTCCGTCTCTCCCATGGTGAGGAAAGAGACACCATTAATGTTGGCCAAGACCTGGGCTTTCCGCTCCCGCACATTGACGGCCGCTTTGGAGATGGTCTTGCTGAACTCCTTCCCCGAGCTGTTGGTCACGCTGATGTTGCTCGGGAAGCGGTGGATCTTGGGTGCAGGCTGTGTCATCTGTCTGTGCCACAGCAAGTGGTCTCCATTTCGAGGGGCTCCAGAAGCCAGTGTCCTCCGTTCTGCAGCCCTGCCCTCCTTCGAGGGGGATGTGGGTGAAAGCGCTTCATTTCCTGCCAACTTCTCGGAAATTTTCTGGGCGATGACAAGTGGGGTCGGCACCGAGCGGGGTAGTTTCGGGTGCTCTGCTGGAGGAGAAGGAGAGAGCAGCTCTTTCCTGGAGTGGGCTGGAGCTGCGGGGACAGGCAGGGAAGGCGACAGAGGAGGGGCCTCTGGGACCGTGGAGTCTGGAGAAGGAGAATTCTCAGCATCTTGCTTCCTGCACTCAAGATCAGGAATGTCTTCCTTTCCAACAGGTCCAGCCCCTGAAAAGTGAGGGAGAATCCTCATAAGCTACCACCTTATGTAAAAATAAACGCATTACATTTCCTTTTCACCCTGAATTTAAAAAGGTCTCAAAGGTACGTAATACCAATGTTGACAGTACCTCCTATCAGCTAAACTCCCTCCATCCCTGTTCCCTGGACTAGAGAAAGAGAACATAGCATCATTTTCATAACCATGTGATGGGAAGGAATGAATTAGAGATGGAGAAAGACTTGCAAGTCAGAAATGATCAGCACCTGGGAAGCGTATTATAAAAGCAAGCCTGTAAGGACCCCTCATCCTGAGGCAAGTAAAAGGAGGAAATCATGACTTACCTTATCAGGGGATGTTACAAAGGAGAAATGGAGCCTGGAAAGTTGTGTGGCACACGCCAACAACTCCATCAGGTCTTTCTAGATGAAGGATAGCTGGATGTGAAACGGAAACGTTTCTTGATGGCCCAGGTAGAATTTAATATGCCAGCCTCTGAGCCTTTACTGTATCCATAACATATATTGATCGCAGATCACCTAACACTTTTCTGCACTCATGTTTATACACCTCCTCCTGCTGCAAAACTAAGCCACGTCTTATTCATCTTTGCATCCTCGGAATCTCACATGATGCCGGCCACAGAGTAGGCACTTAAACTTGTTATGAAAATATCATGTTAGACAGTTGATGGGCAAGGTGACTTACTTTCAAAACGTGTTTTTCTTGGCACAATTACATGATCTGACATTTTTAAAGGCTCAGCTGGTTCAAATTAATTTTAGGAACTATACTTCAAAGAAGAAGAGTGATAAAAATGGGAAATTCACATTAAGTCTCTTCTGAAGAGATGGCTGCAAACTAAGCTACATATTTGGAACCTGTAACCATAGTATGTGAAATTCTGTGTAATACACAGCCTTGCTTACAAAAAAAAAAGAAAAAATATATATTTCTAGAGGCTCATGACAAAAGGCAGTGTGCTGTAGTTAGAGCAAAACTATTTTCCCTTCTATTTTTGCCTTTCTAACCATATTCCCTTGCCTACATTTATTTCCAATATCTTTTCCAATCAGGAAAAAAAATTGGAAGAAAATTTTCTCCTTGTCCATCTCCCTCTAGTTCTGTCATAAGACTCAAGGGACAAAAAGCGTACCTCTCCTCTGATGCCACCCTGAGTCAAGCAGGTGTACAAAGTAGACGCTGAGCCGAATTTCTATTCTGATCTTTTCCTGTTTTCCTGAACAAGCTGACTTTTTAGTTCAAATACTCCCACCTTGGAAAGTCATACTTCAGAAATAGGGCTATGATCTTGCACAAAAATTGAGATTAAACCTCAAGGGCTAAATTACAAGTACCCTGTATGTCTTCTTTGCAGAATGAATCGTTACCTGGAAGTCATTTCCAATTTTCTTTCTTTTTTAAAATATACATAACATCTATTTGTATGCCCAGTTAGTCTCATTTTTATTCTAGCCCTTTGGGAGTTTCCCTTCCTGTGCTGTCATCCTAATACGCTATGAAAGCATCTACCTGTGGAACAATCAAACCACCAAGAGGATGCTTCTACCCTACAAAACCCAGATAAGCCCCACAGCTTCCATACTGACAAACCCAGGAGAGCAGGACAGAAGGAAGTGCCTCTGTGTCTTGAACAACACTGACAAACCAGGCCAGAGACGTGTGCTTCCTCCTCACCCGCTGCCTCGGTCCCATCCGGAAGGCACTCGGGCTCCCCAGCGGCAGGTCCCGGCTGCACTAAATCGATGACATCTTCTGGCTCGGAGTGACTGGAAGTGCCCTCTTCCAGAGACCGCAGAGAGTGGCAGTGCACACCGCTGTCACACAGGTCTGGCTCCTCAAAGTCATCTTCCAGGGAATCAATGGTCTCTTCAAAAAACAGGATGACGTCCTTTTCCTCGTGGGTGAGGTACTTCAGGCTCTCATCATCCTACACCCACCATGGCCGTGGGGATTAGGAATGGAAGAGAGAAAACAAACAGCGATTTCACTGAAGAGAAAAACCACGACACAGCCGGGATCGACACAGAGCCCAGGGTAGAATTCACGGCACTTAAAATTTCCCGCCTGGGGCGAGTCTGCCATTCAGGATACCCCCCTGACAAACCTGCGCCTGTATGTCCTTCACCATTTTACCTGCATGAGAAAGAAGGCTGTCTACAACGTGTAGCAAATTAAGGCTCTTAGAACCCATTATTGGCTCTAGCCTTCTGGTTCCTAGAGAGTCAATGACAAAGAAAGTAAGTCTTCTTCAGCTGCTCCTTGGGAAAGCTTACTTGCCACCTACTGCTCTCAGACGTGCTTGTTTTCCCCTAGTAGAACTGGGGGAAAAATCTCTGGTTAAAGATAGTGGAGTGAACTCACACATTTATCTCCTCTTCCTCCAGAAACCCCACTAAAACAATAAAGGGATTTATTATTTTGTTAAAGGGCACAAATCACAAAGACAAAAATAATAGGAAAAGAGATGACAGCAATAAAATCTGGGAAGGCAGACAGCAGAAGGGCAGGTGGTAACTGACTCAGAAGACCAGAGAAAGTTGAATTTTAGTCAGCAGCCGGGGGAGGCCAGGAATCAACCCGCTGAGTACTGGAGAGCTCCCCCGAGGTCAGGCACTGGGGGTGCTGAGCAGTTCCGCAAGTGTGGCAAAGATGATGTTGAAAAGAGCAGAACTGGATGAAAGTCTCTTTCAGAAGAAATCAGGTTATCTCAGCAGAAAACTGGATGTTTTTTCTTAAAGAAAGTAAAAGAGAGATTTGAAGTGGGGGACACATGGAGCAGAGTTGACGGTGAAGGACTGTAGCGAAAACAGGAGTAAATGAAGCCAAATTCATTCTCGAGACAGAAGACCGGAGGAGTCTCCTCTGGGGAGTCTGAATAGTCCACGAGCCAAGGGAGGCTGATACCACAGGTGCCCCAAGGAAACAGCTCAGCCTTGTCACCCTACAAGTGAAGATCAGAGTCAACACACCCAGCATAGAATTTTTAATCAGTTTCTTAATGTCCTACTTTTAAATATATGCATATAGCTAATGATACCGAGCAGCTGCGAAAAACCTTCAACATGAAAGACATATCAAAATCAAACAAAAAGAAGAAAAAAAGCAACTTACAAGAAACAAACTATGCAGAATGATGAAAATTTCAAAAATATTATCATTAATATCCTCAGAGAGATAAGAGGAGATACTGAATCCATAAACAAGAATATGATGTTAAAAAAACTGGAAGAAAAAGAAGAGCTCTTAGAAATGAAAACTGACAGCAGAAATGAAAAACTAAATAAAAGCCTAGAAGACAAAGTAGGGAAACTAGAACAGTAAAACAGAAAGTCCAAAAAAAATTTTTCTTTAAATAGAAAAGATAAGAAAATTAGAGGATAAGTGTGGGAGGGCCAATATCTGAATAATGACAGTTCCAGAAAGATAAATCAGAAAAAGTAGAGAGGAAGAAGTTATCACAATGAATAAGTAAAATAATTGGAGGAAATGTCCCTAAACAGAAGGACATGAGTTTCCAGATTAAAAGGGGCCATTAGAAGAACCTAATGAGGGGCCAGCCCAGTGGCGTAATGGTTGAGTTCGAGCACTCTGCTTTGGCGGCCGGGGGTTTGCAGGTTTGGATCTTGGACACAGACCTACACACCGCTTATCAAGCCATGCTGTATAAAGTAGAGGAAGATGGGCACGGATGTTAGCCCAGGGCCAATCTCCCTCGACAAAAAGAGAGGAGGATTGGCAACAGATGTTAGCTCAGGGCTAATCTTCCTCACCAACAAAAAAAAAAGAACCTAATGAACACAAAGGCAACAGACCTATGCCCCAGCACATCACTGTGAAATTTCAGTACACCAAAGACCAAGATCCTGAAAGCTTCCCAGAGTGAAAACTCAAGTCACATCACAAAAGATCAGGAATCAAAACAGCAACAGACTTCTCAGCAGCGACATCGGAAGCCGGAAGACAATGCTGTGATTCCTTCAAAATTCTGAATGAATTCAGAACTAGAATTCTAAACCTTACCAAATTAGGTTAGGATAGGATAAAAACGTTTTTAAGACACGTGGGGTCTAAACAACGGATGTGCCATGTATGCCTTTCTCAAGAAGCTACTGCAGGGAAATGGGGTGGTTATCCTTGACAAGGAAGTAAACCAAGAGGAGACACGGGAGCCAGGAAATAGGAGGGTCAATGAATCGCAGGGTCACGGTGATGTCCCCAGGATGTCAGCTGTGCAGTGAACAACCTGTCTAGTTCACAGCAAGCCAGAGGGCTACACAGAACACAAAGCAAGCAAATAAAACCACAACAATTATTGACCCCAGGAAAAAACTAAAGTTAGGAGAGACAGCTTATATCTATGAGTCAATTCATCTTTGGCAATACACACACACACACACACATTAATTATATCAGTATTTATAGCAGCAAGAAAACAAGCAAAACAAGAAACAACCTCAAGTGTCCAACCATCAGGGTATGGTTAAACAAATCATGCACATTCACAGATGGAATATTATACAGCCATTTTAAATGGTGTTTTCAAAGCATATAACGCCAAGTGAAAAAAAGGCAGACAGAAAAATAGAGTTGTCTCGATTGGATTTAAATATATGCATATTTACTACATATACACATACAACAAATGCTGAAAGGATATACAGTCAAATGTCAATAGTGGGGAAAATGAAGACAAATGACAAAGAAACAGGAATGAGTTAAAAATTGTTGCCTCTGATGAGTAGGAAATGGGGGAGGGGTACATGGAAGACTAATGCTTTTCATAAATCTTATAAAACCATTTGACTCTACTATGAGCATGAACTTGGATAAAACAACAAAAAAAATGGCAGAAGCAATGGTGATTAAGAGCTCATCTACATGGTGCAGAGTGATGCTTTTCAGGCTCTGATCTCAGGAGTATTCAAATGCCCACCCACCCCCACGCACCCAACTCCCAGGCCATCACAGAGCCTGCAGTCTCCACCATGTTGGAGACTTTTCTTTAGTTTAAGGCATAGCATACATTTGTTTTGGTAGGATTAACACAAGAATACATGCAAATTGCTCAAACTATCCTGGCTATATTAGCTTAATCCTGAGGAATGATGACTCAGGAAAAGGAGACTATCTCCAGCACGGGTTCAGTAAACAGATACAATGGAATATGGCTGGAGGGAGATACCGAGAGCATGGGTTAGGTAAGCAGATGGAACAGAGCACCGATAGGGAGAACAAGCAATAGATATTCATCGGATACAAACCTATATACAATTGCTGGGTCACAAGCTATAGGTGTGCTTTGGCAGATACAGCCAAACAGTTCTCAGAAGTGGCCAGACCAATTCACACGACCACTGGCAGGCTGCTGGTTCTCCAGCCCTGTATGACAGGTATATGCTGGTGTTGCATCTGATTTTCAATCCATTCCCAAGAAGACTAATGGTGTTGAGCATCTTTCTTTCATAGTAGTTAAATGGCCATTTAGAGATCCTTTTATGAAGCGCCTGTTCATGTCTTTTGCCTATTTTTCTAGCTAGTTGTCTTTAAAAAAATAATTTGTACGATTACACATACTAGATACAACTCTTCTGTTGGATATATTTACTGCAAATATCTTCTACTCGCTGGCTTGCCTTTTCTCGCTCTTAATGGGGGTCTTTTGATGACTAGTCCTTAATTTTAACATAGTCCAATGTATCAATCTTTTCTTTCACGGTTAGAGTTTTGTGTGTCCTATTTAAGAAACCACTCCCTACTCCACGGTCATGAAGATATTCACCTATGTTTTATTCTAGAAGCATTCTTGTTTTTAACCTTCCATAGTTCGTGCTACAGTTCATCTGGAATGCACTTCTGTGTATGGTGTGATCTCAAGATTCATTGTTTTCTCGATAGATACCCAGTTGTTTCAGCACCATTCCTTGAAAAGACCATCCATCCTTCCTCCACTGCAGGTCTCCTTGGTTGTAAATCAGATGACAGTACCCATGTTGGTCTGTTTCTGGAATCTCTTTTCTGTTCGCTTGTCTACTTGTCCATTTGTACACCAATAAAATACTGTTTAATAATAACTTTATAATAAGTCTCGATATCTCGTAGTTTAAAGCCCTCCAGTTTTGCTGTTCTTTAAGTCTGTGCTAGCTTTTCTGGACTCTTTATTTCCATGTAAGTTTTAGTATCAGCTTGTCAGTTTCCACACACACATAAATACACACACACACCCCTGCTGGGACTTTCATTGGGACTGCACGGAAGTTCCTCCAATCGAGGACAACTGATGTTTTCCAATAGTTTTTCCATCCACAAATGTGGTGTACACCTTCGTTTATTTAGATTAGTGGCTCTCAAAGGGTGGTCCCTCAACTTGCAGCAGCAGCAGCACCTGGGAACTTGTTAGAAATACAAATTCTTGGGCCCCACCTCAGATCTACTGAAGAAATTTAAGGGGCTGGCCCTTCAATCTGTGTTTTGACTCACATTCTGGATAATACTGACGCACTAAAGTTTGATATGCATTGATCTGGTTCTTTAATTTCTCTCAATAATATCTTGTAGTTTCCAGTGTAAGATTTTACACAGTTTTCGTTATATATCTTCTTAGGTATTTTATGTTTTTTGATGCTATTATAAATGGTGTCCCTTTTTAAATTTTCTAATTATTGCTGGTGTATAGACATACAAAGTATACTGATCTTATAATAAGTAAATTTAACACATTTGCTGCATAATTCTAACAGTTTATCTGTCGATTTTTTTCCATCTTCTACATATACAATGCTGTCTGCAAATGACAGATTTTTATTTCCTCCTTTCCATTCCTTATGCCGTTCCCTCATTTTTTCATTCTGCCTTATTGTACTGGCTGCTTCTCCAGTCAGCTGAATAGCAGTGGTATCTCTGTCTTGTTCCCAATATCAGGGAGAAAGC